GCTACAATTCATAAATGTACTGGCACTTCTGCTCAAACACGTGGGACAAACCCAATGAGAAACACTGCATTGCTCAAGCTTGGTCAAATCAATGTATTTTCTACTGAACATAATTTTGAATAATAAAATGATTCATTAGCTTAAACATTTCATCAGCAGTTGTTCTTTTTGGACAAAATATTATTTTTGAATGAACTGGCAATGTCTGCTATGCAGGGAGTCCTTGACATATGACCACAATTGGGACCAGAACTTCTGTTGCTAAGCAATGCGATGTCGTGAGTTGTTCCTGATTTTATGACCTTTTTGCCCCAGTCATTAAGTGAATCACTTGACTGTTAAGCAAATCTGGCTTCCCTATTGACTTTGCATGTCGGAAGCCCCTTGGGAAGATCGCAAATGATCATGTGACCATGGGACACTGCAACCATCGTAAATACATACTGGTTGCCAAGCACCCGAATTTTGAGAATGTGACTGCGGCATGCTGTGACGGTCATAAGTGCAAGGTCTGGTCCTAAGTCACTTTTTTCAGTGCCGTTGTAACTTAAAATGTTAAACCATTATACGAGGACTACCTGTATTAGTGCTTTCATTTACTGGTAATGACTATTCTGTATATGATATATCTAAGTTTCCTTAATATTTTTCACCATATATTCAATTCTACATTTCACTGACTTGTGGAACCCAAGTGATTTGCTTGTATTCTTACATAAATAGTGTTACATATAGTGTTCAGTGCAGGAAGTATTAACTTTTTGCCAGTTACATGCAGATAACTTGCCTTAAATATTTCAAAATTTCACATGAAACCAATACAAACTTTTAATTGTGTGAAACCCAGAAAGTGTACTTTTCACTCTTTTTTTAATAGAAAAACATCCACTAAACACTTTTCAAACATTTATCTATATTCAAGATGGAAACAAGAAGGTATTTAATTTAAAGAACAAAAAATAAAACTCTGGTAGTTCTTATCCATAGTTTCATGCGTCTGTGATTTGAGCTTAGTTTTTTCCCTCAAGCTCCACAAAATGGCAGATGGGCTTTTATCCATGTGTGATGTAAGACCTTTAAGATTTACATCACCCAATCACCAACACCCTGGTTGTAGGCTTCAGAGAAAAGCTCCCCCTTTTCCCCTCTGACAAGAGGGCTTGTAATCTCACCCATGCTCTTGGCAATGGCTTCAGAGAAAAACTCTTCCCTTTCCCCAGACTCAGAAAGAGAAAAATAAATCTATCCTTTGCAGCCTCCCACGAGAGCATTGGTGAAATCACAATCACTTTGGCCAAGAGAGAAAGAAAGCAACTATTTGTTTATTTTCTAAGGACTGGGGCCAGGCTGAGGAGCAGAACTTGGAAATCTCCAATCTAAGGTATTAGTTATTTTATTCAATTTTATACCATTGCAAGATTCCTTATACTTTTTCATACAAATAATGAATAAATAAAAATGTCAAAGAGTAGAGAATTCAGGGCTGATCGTTGTGGCACCCATTTGATGCTTCTCTCCAATTTGATGAGAAATCATTGAACAGCAGGGTGAATATATTTGAGCCAGTTATGTGTCCCCTTAGCTGTCATGCCATCTAGCCCAGATTTAACTAGCGTGCTAATCAGCATCTCATAGGGTACTCTGCTCAAGTCAAAAGATGCATATATAGGATTCCCACTAGCAATTATTTTATTTTTATTTATCGTATTTATATAGCTGCCCATCTCACACAAAGTGACTCCAAAGAAGTTATCCAATAAAAAAAGGAAACAAGATTAGTCCAGCAAGATTTGTTCCTGATTGGCTAACTTCTGGTAATTATCATTCTGTTTCCAAGGTGCTTACTGATCAATCACTTTATAATCTGCTCTGGGATATTCCCAGGTATAAATGTTATACTGACTGGTTTGTAGGTTGCTGGATCTTTTTTCTCTATCTTCTTTGAAGATAGGATCAGTGTTTCCTCTCTTCCAGTCATCTGGCACATCAACAGTTCTCCAAGATTTCTCAAAACACAGGATTTGGCCAGATTGTCAGCTGGTTCTTTCAGTGTCCTAGAATGCAATTGATCTAGTTCTCAAGATTTAAACTATCAGTTTCTATCAGCTCCAATCTTCAATCTTGCTGTTCACAATTTCCTTGTGAAACATGTACTATATTTTTGAAGTTGAATAGTCTTTTATTTGTTATCTCTTAGCATTTTACCTTCCTCACTTAATGATGTCTTTTCAAGTTACTAATTTCAGAATTAATAGAATTAGAATTAGGAGACAGGTAGTGATAGTGGTGTTTATATTGTTATATTGTTGTTATTTTTTATATATATCACTCTCCCTGCCAAAAGAGTGCAGAGAGTTGCACAGGTGGTCATAATAAAAAGTATCTACAATATACAGCTATTTTTGCCACCCCGTTGCCCTAAGCTGAAATGCAGCTTGATGTCAGAGACAAACTGAAGGTTCTGTTCAGCTAAGAGCCATCAGATATAGGCAGATTCTCTTTGCTGCTATAAGACAAGAGTTCCAACTTCAACTCTACCACTCTACTCCTGAAAGTGAGGTTAGACTGGGGCATTCTAAGTTTCCACTGGCTTTGCTATATAGTTTGAGTTCTACTCTCTGGGAAGGACAGAGAAAAGGAATTATATTTCCACTAGCCTACTGCTATTGGACATCAGTAAGAGTTAGTAGAGTCGTATGGACTTCTAGTGCTTCTCCACAGATCTGGTAACTAAAACACTACTCCCTAGCAGGCTTTTGTTTAAATCCAGAAGAAAGAGGCAGAAATTTGCTGTGACTTCCACTTTTATACAATATGTTCAAAGATAAAACAAATAATTGCTTTCAACCCAAGGATGAAGATAAGGAAGAGATCAGGACCTCAAGCTTCAACTATAGAAAGAAACCTCAGTCTAGTCATGCTCATTAGAGCTCCCCTCATGGCCTGCTGCCATTAAGAGATGGGTGAATGACTGGAAACTCTTGTGCAATATATCATGATGAATACTGGTTTTATAGGGCTTATGTAGTTTTTACTTTTATTTTAGCTTAACTAAACATTTTAATTGTGGTTGGACTGTTTTGTTTTGTTTATTTAATATGCTCAACAGAATGGTACAAATTTAAGACTCAGTTATGTACAACTGGAAGACCAGTTACATCTTATGAATGAGAAATACTGAAAAAAAGTTACATAAAAGAAAAAGATTAAATAATTCTACTAGAGTTTTATGTGTTGATTTTTTTTTCTCAAAACAGACATTGGAATTAGTCATTGTTTATTTCTAACTGCCTCATTTAGTTTTGAAAACTTACATAGAAAAGCAAGAGTAACTGAAAAAACATGAATCACAACAGATCACAAAAGAATATCCAATAGGATAGAGACAGTATTTTCTTAGAACCAAAAGGATCCACAGGATGGTGCAGCTCCCTCCATACTGGTTTTTTAAATCAGAATTTCTGACTCAAGTTTAAAGCTAGAAATAAGCTTCTCTCTAGGAACAAGCCTCATATATCTGAGATTTCTCTTTCTTTCTGGATTGAGTTAAGAGGAAATAATGGACTATTTGCTACATTTTCAGAAGCTGATTATTTTATATTATGTGAATCCACACAATTTCTCTGAGGTGCTGATATTACTCGGTATATATTCAGCTAAAAGAGCTAAATAAAATAAAATAATTTCAGCTGCCAGTTGATAAACTAAAGGAAAATATTAGGAATTCACATCCCTAAAACACATAGGTAAACACCAGGTATACATTTATTGTTTCTCACACTTAAGATCATACTATACTATACTATACCACCTATTTGAACTAATATGCTTAATATCAATTGTCTGTAGCCTGTCCAGTCCCCATATGCTCATACTAAGGAAACTTCCCTTGTGCTGAAATGGATACTTTATATTCAGCATTCTGTACAATCTTAACTGTAGTTTTCAAAATTATAAAGTTAGATTACTAAGTCTGAATTTAAAATATTTAATTGAAAGTAGAAGGTATTTTAGGCCACTGGTGTTGAAGGTAACAATAACTGAATGATAAGATGCATAAATTGAGTTGTTAAGTTTGCTATATAAGCCTGCATTAGTATTATCAATATACTAAATATTTTTTTTCAAAATAAGCTATGAAAAATTTTTGCAACAGTTGTTAATGCTCTTTTATTTGGCAAAAACATCTTGCTTTTCCTCTTTAGTTAAGAAGGCAAATTACCAGACACCCTAAAGAATGCAACAGTCTAGCCAAACACAGAGAAACTGATTTCCACTGCCAGTAGCTTTGCCAAGTATTGCAGTTTGCAGGGTTTTTTCCCCTCTTCTTCTTGGCAATGCTCTTGCAAAAAAGGATGGCATTCCAAAACTCTAGTAATTTTACATGCAACGTCCTGGACTCTTTATATCCTGGTTCCAGATTAAAGACTGTTGTAAAAATGTCTTTACTGTCTATTAGTCCTGCAGGTTCATTAAAATCTCAAGTCAGACCAGTGGGCATATAATGTTTTATATTCATGCATTTCTTCTTTAGTTATCACAAAACTTAGAAATTCATGTTTCACAAGAAATGGATGTATCAGAACTGAAATACAATTTTAGGTCAATTAAAAGGCATTTGGTAGCTTAGGGGTTACCAGTGTTCACCAAGACAACATCACGAACCCTGTTCTACCTAACTTATTTTTATCTGGCATGCTGCAAAACAATGTGCTAGCTTTCATCATATTCATTTGCAGAATGATAGCATCTGGAACACTAATGCTGTGTTTTGCAACTGACTATGGCCACTACGACAATTATTCTGTAAATAAGCAGATATTTTATGAATGTGCTTGCTTCAGTTTTTGGTGTACCATGTCATGACAACTGAGAAGACTGGATGTAATCATGTTTAAGTTTACCACAGACAAATGTGTTATGAAAACAAAATATTTATGAATAACACAATCTGCTCTCAAACAACATGCAACTACTAATGGCCTAGAATTCATTTTTACCTGGTGGATTCTTGGCAGGATCATTGTGGCTTGGACTTCCTGATTGTCCAGAATCTACAAAAGAAGAAGAAATACATTACCATTTTGCTACTGATTTGTTGTTAGCGTATCACAAAAATTACAATGTTCTGAATGAATCAGTTTGTATACTGTACATTCTGAAAAACTCAATCTCATAACTGAAGAGTGATGAGTATGAAGGATGTATCCCTTATGACAATCTTGCTTAGGCATACCTGGTCCTTATTTCATAAAATTCTCAAATGGAAAAACTGCATCGTAACTGCAGAATGGAAAAAATATCATTCCCAAAATGGTGAGGTATAAAAATATCAGGCAATTCCTTCCCAAAGTCACATCTGCCTGTCTGGTCCATTCATTTAGGAACCCCCATGAGGTTCACAGAGCACAGACCCAGAAGCAGGCCTTCTCAGTTGGTAACTGACGTTTTATGGAACAGTCTCCCCCAAGAGGTATTTATATGTATTTTCAAAAAAGGCAAAGTATCCTTGTTCCAGTAGGTATTTGGCCTTAGGGTTAAAAAAGATTGGTGCCCTTGACATACTAATTTTTTATTGTCAATTTCTATTCTATATATTATGATTATATATATAACGCTTTTTTAAAAAAGACTTTGTTATATCCAGAACCCATTAGGACTGGGTGAGCTATAAATATTGCTTAAATAAATAAATAAGTCAAAGTCAAAGTAATCTTTATTGTCATTGTACTACTCGTACAACGAAATTAAATGCC